AGAATTGATGCCTTTGAGCTGTGGTACTGGAGAAGACTATTGAATGTACACTGGACCCTCTATGAGGTGGATTGATTCAGTGACTGGGGTAATGGGGATGGGTATGTCAAAGACAGTGCAATTGGCCCAGGACAGAGCAGAGTTCAGGGCTGTTGCACATAGGGTCACTATGAGTCGCAAGTGACTCGACGGGACATCATAACAACAACAACATATGAACTGTTGTTGCTATTTACTGTAGAGTTATAACTGATCCATAGCTGACCCTCCAGTGAGTTTTCAGAGGCAATTAATTTCATTGGAGAAGATTGTCCATCCTACTCCTGTGGAGCAGCTAGTGGCCTTGAACTATGTGCTTTTGCAGTACAGCTTCTTGCTACTAGGCCACCAGAGCTCCCATATGATCTATACAGTAACTATTTTTGCCCTTTTTGTATGCAACTATATGAAATACAGGAGTGACATCCACTTCCTAAATAACATGCCTCCAGAAACTCTATGTACTTTGAGAAATGTCAATGGTTGTAGAGGGGCTTCAGGCCTTTTGTTCATAGGGTCGCTATGAGTTGACTCAACACAAAGGCAATCAACAACAACATATGAAATATATAGCAACTGTATGAACAACAAATAGTAACTCTGTCATCTTCATAAACTCCTGTAAGCTCAAACCCATTGTTAGAGTCACTGTGTCAACTTATATTACTGAGGTTCATCCTCTATTTCACTAACACTCTGTCTTTCTCTCCATGGTGTCTTTTTCCAAGGACTGGCCCTTTCTAATCCTTAGACTCAAGCAAGTGTATTTCCCTGTCTGTTAAGTTGTTTAGAGAACATAGGGAAATATATCTGTTTTAAGTCTTAGATTTGTCTATGATAGTCACAAAACTTTAAAAATTGACAATATTCTAATTTATAATAATTAGTAAGAACCTTAGAAAAAATATTCCTTTCCTTTCTAAATAATGCATAGCTGATCCTCTGTCCTTCTGAGTCTGTAACTCACAAAGGAGGAGATGATCTACCTTTCTCCCAAACATTTCTACATGAAATACATTAAAATCTTATGAAATGTTAAATATTATATCAATAATTGAATATTGTGAAAATAATCTTACTAATATATAGTATGAGTACATTCAGAGTCACTTTGAAATCAAGAAATTTCAAGGCAATGAGAATTAGAATCCTAATTTGTCCTCCTGTTCAAATTCTGTCAAATTAGATTTATGCTTGAACGTATGTTAGAGCTTTATTTTTACATTTAAAAAAATGAGACAAGAACTGCAGTGTTGTTATAAGTAATAGAGATGATTCATGTGACATAGTTAGTCCAGTACTAGGACTTGAAATTATCTTCAACAATAATAAATCTGATGGAGTCTGATAGAACCCCAGAGACTAGTCTTTATATATATTTCAAACTTGCAACTAAATCCCCTCCCTCCTCCACTCCCACAATCCCATGATCCAGGGATCAATTTTTTAGTCAACAACATCTCAAAGATAGGCTTGTAAAGTGAACAATTACACCAGCGAGGTATGAACTCAGTACAATGAACCAAATGAGACCAAAAGCAAAACAGTTGTAGAAAAGCACAGCTCAAAAAGCCCGAGATGGGCAGAAATGAAGGATAATGGAAAGACAGAAATCACATAGGAATTGGGTAGAGGGCTAATCTATTGAGAGGATTGCAGCTCAAGTTGCAATAATATGAAATGTGTACACACTGTTTAATGGAAAAGGAAAACAACAGAAGCAATAATAAAAAACCAAACACTGAGAAGATTATAGGTGACCATGGTTTTCTTACTTTCTTTGTCGTTAAGTGCTATTGAGTCAAATACGACCTATCGTGTTCAACAAACCTGAACCCTATCCTATCCTGAGCCATCCTTACACTTCCTGGTACAATAGCGCTCATTGCCACTTTGTCATTCCACTTGGTTGAGGGTCTTCTCCTTCGCTGACCCTTCATCTTTCTGAATATGATGTCCCTTTCCAAGGAAGAGTCTTTTCTATCAACATGCCTGAAGTATATGAGACAAAGCTTCAACATCTTTGCCCTCAAGGAGCACTCTGACTGCACTTTCTACAAGACATATCTCTGCTCTTTTGGCAGACCATGGTATATTCAGTATTCCTCTACAACAACACAGCTCAAAAGATTTAATTTTTTCTTCTGTTATTCTTATTCATTGTTCTTTTGTCAGATGCACAGCAAGTAACTGGAAGGATCATAACTGAATCAGATTCACCTTAGTCCTCAAACTGACATCATTGTTCCTTAATAATTTGGAGAGGTCCTGGCTGCGGACTTTCCCAGTGCGATACGACTCCTGATTTCCTGACTGTGAGTACCAAGGCTTTTGATTGTGGGTTCAAGCAAGATGAAGTCATTGACAGTTTCTATCTTTGCTCCATCTAGCATGCTGTTGATTACTGGTTCAAGTGGTGAGAATTTTTGTTTTCTTGATGTTGAGATGCAATCTATACTGAAGTGTGTATTCTTTGATTTTCTGCAGCAAGCACTTCAAGCCCTCCTCACTTTCAGCACACAAGCTGTATTATTTACATAACACAGATTATTGATTAGTTTTCCTCTGATCCTGATACCACATTCTTCTTCATAAAGACCAGCTTCTCAAATAAATAGCTTAGTATAGAGATTAAATATGTATGGGCAGAAAATACAATGCTGAGGTATATCTTTTTAAATTTTAAACTATATGCAATATTCTTTTGCTCTGTTCATACAACAGCCTCTTGGTCTAGGTTTCACATGAGCAAAATTAATTTTTCTATGGTACCCATTCTTTTCAAAGTTAGCCATAGCTTGTTATGATTCAGGTAGTCAAATGGTTTTACATAGTTTATAAAGCACAAATAGACATTCTTGTGGTATTCTTTGCTTTCAGCCAGAATTCATCTGACCTTCGCAATAATATCCCTAGTGCCACAACTTCTAAACCCAGCTTGAACTCTTGGAAGTTCCTGGTCAATGTACTACTGTTATAGGCACTTTTGGAGGATCTTCACATGCATATAATTTTTTCTTGATGCGATAGTAATGATAGTATTTGATAATAATTTCCACATTCTGTTGGATCACCTCTCTTGGATATGGGAACAAATGATCTCTTTTAGTCAGTCGGACAGGTAGTTGTACTTCAAATTTCCTAACATAGAGTGCTGAGCAAGTCCAGGATGGTATGCTATTTGAAATATTTCAATTGATAGCAATTCCTGAGGTCTTATTCCCACCCTCCCTCACAGTGTCTTTAGTGCTGCTTGAACTTCTACTTTCACTACCATTGGCTCTTGATCATATAGTACCCCTGAAATATTTCAGTATTGACCAATTCTTTTTAGGGCAGTGACTCTACATATTCATTCCATCTTATTTTGAAGTTTCCCAGATCATCCAAGATTTTACCCAGAGCATCTCTCAATATTACAGCTCGAGGCTTGAATAGTTTCTGTTTGAGAAATGCTGTTAGTTCTTTCCTTTTTATTCTCCAACTCCAGCTGTTTTCTCATTTCATTCTACTACTTTGCTTTGTCTTCTTAAGGTGCCCTTTGAAATCACCTATGCAGACAGTAAAAAATATATTTCTATGATCTTAAGGGAAACAAAATTATCCAGCATCCGAATATACAGTGCTGAATTAAATGTGAAGATAAAATTACCAGTGAAAATTGCAGCTGAGTACTTTGTCACTCATGACTGATCCTCCAAGGTTTTCTGAGACTATGAATGGCAAAGGAGGATATACCCATATTTCTTTTACAGAGAGAGTCCAACAACCAGAAAAGTGCAGTCTTCGGGATATAAGCATAATTCTCTTCAGACTGCACCACCAGAGCTCCCTGATAATGAAGTAGGAATTGAAAGAAAAAATTTATCATGTTCTCAAATGCAGAAATATTGAATAAAATTAGGCAGATTTTATACGTCTAGCAGTGTCTCTTTAAAAGAAATTTAATCAGTACATAGGAATAGTACACTCATAAATTATTTCATGATAATGCAAACTTTTGCCATGCATACATCAGTGATTAAATAATATTTATAATGAGAAATAGCAATTCATATACTATCATATGATACTAAATGGCAGTAAATTTTATTAGCTTTTCTAATTTTACTGACACTTTTAAAAATATAAAATACCAAAAATCAAATGGACTCCAAAAATCAAATGATTCCAACTCACAGCAACCCTGTAGGAAGGATAGAATCTAGTAGAATCTAGAATTGTCAATGTCTTAGTCAGCAGTGGATGCCTTCAGCAAAATGCCACTGAAGCATGGACAGAATAGAATGTCATTTTCTAGGTAAAGTAGTGGAAGCAAGAGTGGCACCCACTTCCTAAACAACATGCCTCTGGAAACTCTATAAAGTTTGATAAATGTTGATAGTTATAGAAAGGCTTCAGGCCTTTTGTCCATAGGGTCGTTACGAGCTGTGCTTGACTCGAAGGCAATTAACCACAGGTTAAGTAGGGAGATGTCTTAACCACTGTGCCACAAGTGGTTCTTAGAAAACAGAATTTCCCAGAATATGTACAAAAATGACTAAAATAATTAATTCTTTATTATACTTAAGTAAGTTTTCATCAATTACTAAGATCAGTAAGAACACTGGAAAGAAGTAAAATAGAGAAAATAGAAGTCTATTTTAGTTTCAAGGATTTTCTACTCTTAGACTTAATTTTTGTTTGTTTCAATTATTGTTCTTTACTATAACTTAGAATCATGTTATTTTTAAAAGACTTACAAAGTAGTTGTTCTCAAGAAAAAATTTTGTTGAAAATTATTTATATGACACATACACTTGGTCCTAGTTCTCCAAAGGGTCCAGTTGGTCCCTCTTCTCCCTTAAGAAAGTTAAACAAAAAAAAAAATTCATGATATAAAATAAAGATTTAGTAGTGAAAATGTTTAGAGGAACAAAATATGGATTAGAATTCAATGAAACTATAAATTAAGCATAATCTTTACCTTCTTGGTCAATAGCTGTATGTCATTAAGAGTAACTCACCTACTAAGTTCTTATGGAAATAAATACACATTGGCATACTAAAAATTCATGATAGAGGACATATTTACTCTTGGCATATTTAAATAGTTCATTCATTCAACAGTTAAATTTATTATCTAATATAAGCCCTAAATATACAAAGATAAATCAGATCATATCTAAATTAGGCTTAATGTCTAGACTATATTCTTGATTAATCAAAAAGTGCAATATTATTAGAGCTCAATTAGCTATAAATAATATCATAAGATATAAACTATGGCATAAACTTTTAGAGATGAAAAACTGTATAGTGAACAGAAACTGAAGTGGAACATAGAAAAAAGTAAGAAAATATGTTTTGTAATAATAAAACCATGTCCATACATATTGTAAGAAATTTTAAAAATTATTTCATGTACAGATATATTTACTAAATATACTGATATACTTTTTTAAATTTAATTTTATTTTTTGTTTACTTTCTTACATAAATTTTTCCAAATAAATAGTTGAAAATATCACATCTGGATAATGTATACAAACTTCTGTAAGGTAATATATTCTATCCTTGTTCTTTAGTAAACTTTTTGCTTAATTCATAATTCAAATAAAATACAATTAACTCAGTCACAAATATAAAATAGTCACAAATGTTGTGATTGTTATGTGCTGTCGAGTAGCCAATGAGTGATGGAGAACCACAATAGCTCTGAAGCCTGCCCTATCATGAGCCAGTCTCACTGACACCAACATACCTAATCTGATTGCCCTGAGAACCATGTCAATTAATCTGATCAGAGGTCTTTCTCTCCTGTGCTGTTCCTTCACCCTTCTGAGCATGACATCCTTCTCCAAGGACTTAGTCTCTCCTCACCTCATGCCCAAAGTTTGTGAGATGAAGCTTCAAAATTTTTGCTTCCAAGGAGAAACTTGGGTTTCACCCTCTCTAGGACAGACTTGTTTGTTCTCTTGGCAGTCCAAGGTATATTTAATACTCTTCTCCAGCACCACACCTCATTCTTAGTCATTGTCCAGCTTTCTGATGTATAGTAAGTAATTGCAAAGACCAGGGCCTGCATCAGGTGCATCTTTAGACTGATATTGTTGCTATTTAACAATCTGGATAGGTCCCTGACAGCGCCTTTGCACAATGCAATTAGTCTTTTGATTTCCTGACTGTTGATGCTAAGCGTGTAGATTGTGGAGATGAGCAAACTGAAATTGTTAACAAACTCCATCTCTTCTCCATCTGTCATAGTGCTGCCAATTTTTGTCTTCTTGCTATTAAGCTTCAATTCATATTGAAGACTACAGTCCTTGACCTTCTGCAGCAAATGCATCAGGTCCTTCTCAGTTTCAGGAAGCAAGATGTTATCATCTATATAATTCACATTTTTGATGAGTCTTCCTCCAATCATGATGCCACACTTCTTATAAAGTTCAGCCTCCGAGATGATCTGTTCTGCATACAGATCAAAAAGATAAAGAATAGGATGCATCCTTAAAACACTCCTTTCCTAATTTTGAACCATACAGTCTTTCCTTGCGGTGTTCTGACAATTGCCTCCTGATCTAAGTATAGCTTTCACATGAGCGCAACAGTAAACATAAATTCTAACACACACAAATGAGACTCTTAAGTTCAGATTTATCAGACATTCCATTGAAATAAAGACATAAAACAAATAATTAACCTTAAAACTCACACTCACTACCACTGAGTTGGTTCAAACTCACAGCAACCTTCGATTGGGTTTCTGAGACTATAAATACCAATGAGAGGAGCCTGCCCATCATATTCCTCCCAAGAAGCCACTGCTGGATCAAAACCATTTAAGAAGCACAACCATTGATGTAGCAGCAAAACTAACTATGGACTATACTGTCAGATCTGCTTTAGCTCTTTAATTTACTTAATAGCATTGTAAAACTTCCAAATGCCATTAAATATTTACAAATATAAAATGGTAATTTAAAATCTTCTACAATAAAAACTAGGTTCTTCTCAAAGTTAGCCACAGTTTGTAATGAACCACACAGTCAAATGCCTGTGAAGAGTCACATAAACAGAGATACACATTCCTCTGGTACTCTTTGATTTCAGCCACGATCCATCTGACATTGGTAATAAAGTCTCCAGTGCCAGGGTCTCTTCTAAACCCAACTCGTATTTCTAGTATTTCACTGTTGATGACTGTTCAAGTCATTTTTGAATAATTTTCTGTTGAATCTTGTTTGCATTTAACAGTAATGATATTGTTTGATAATTTCCACATACCGTTGAATCACCTTTTTTTTAAATAGAAATAAATATGGATTTATTCCTGTCAGTTGGCCAGGTGGTTGTCCTCCAGATTTCTTGGCACAACCTGGTGAGTGTGTCCAGCGTAGCATCTATTAGTTGAAATATGTCAATTGGTATGACATCAATTCCTGGGGCCTCAATTTTTGCCAATTCTTTCAGCACAGCTTGAACTTGCTTCTTCATCACCATTGTTTCTTGATCATATATTTTTGCATGAAATTCTGTGTTAGCCAATTCTTTTTAATATAGTGACTCTGTGCACTCCTTCCATATCCTTTTGGTGTTTCCTGAGTTATTCAACATTCTGCTCACAACATCCTTAAGTATTGCAACTCAGAGCTTGAGTTTGTTGTTGAGTTCCTTCTGCTTAAGAAATGCTGAATTTCCAATACCAGCTCATTGTACATTTCATTATAATACATTGCTTTGTCTGCCTGTACTTCTCTTTGAAATCTTCTGTTTAGCTCCTTAAAATCTTGATTTCTTCTGTTAGGACTAGGAGACAATTGTCAGAACAAAGCAAGGAAACACTGCCTGGTTCAAATCAGGAAAAGTGATGAATCCTATCTCCATACCTTTTCAATCTATATGTGGAACAGATCATCCAGGAGGCTGGGCTATACGAGAAGAAATGTGGCATCAGTATTAGGGGAAGTCTCATAAACAAACTGAGTTATGCAGATGACTCAATCTTGTTTGCTGAAATGAAGGAGGATCTGAAGAATTTGCTGTAGAAGGTCAAGGGCTGCAGCCTTCAAATATGGATTGAAGTTTAACATCAAGAAAACAAAGATTATCACCATCATGCCAACTGGCAGCATTGTGATGGATAGAGAAGAGATTGAGATTGTTAACAGCTTGCTTGACTTCACAAATCAACACCCTTGGTACAAGCATTCAGGAGATCAAAAGACAAATTGCATTGGAAAAATCTACTGTCAGAAACCTCTCTTGAGTAAAGAAGAACAATGACACCAGTAACGTGTGTCTGATCAAGGCCATAGTCTTCACAATGACTTGCTATGCATCAGAGAGCTGGGCAATGACTAAGGAGGATAGAAGAAGAATTGAAGCCTTTGAGTTGTGGTGTTGGAGAAGAGTACTGAATATACCACAGACTACTAAGAAAACAAATAGATCTGTCCTGAAGAGGGTGAAATTAGGCTGCTCCTTGGAGCTAAGGATTTTGAGACTCCATCTGACATCATTGGGCATATTGCCAGGAGGGACTAGTCATTGAAGAAGGACATCATAATTGGAAGGGTGGAGGGACAGCACAAGAGAGGAAACCCTGGATGAGATGGATTGAATCAGTGACTGGGGTTATGAGGGTAAATGTGTCAGAGACAAAGAAATTGGCTCAGGATAGAACAGGGTTCAGAGCTATTGTACATAGGGTTGTTATGAATCAAAACCAACTTGACAGCATATAACAACAATGTAAAAACTATATAAAGTCAGTATTTTCTCTCAGCAAAAATTAAATTTCTACAAATGTATAAAGTGTAAATTTTTAATTGAAAATAAAAAATATTGACTGGATACATATATCGTTCATACCTGAGTTCCTTTGAGACCAGGAGGCCCAGGAGGCCCTCTATTTCCAAGAAGTCCCTGTAAAAGCAAAGTAAGCCCACATAAGAAACACTTTTGTCCAATCAATGTTTTACTCAATTAATTCAAACCTTTTCTTTCTGTTTTAATATCTCCAGCAACAAGAAGTCAGTTATTTGAAAGGAGATCATTCTACCCTAGATTTCAAAGGTAGACATGGGCCCTGGGCCTAAATTCAAGAACATATTTTACATCCCTAAAAACATATGTAGATTCAGGAATTATCAAAGGAAGCCAAATCAGTACAACTGAAGGAAATTCTGAAATTCAGTGGGATTATTAGTAAGAAAGAGACTATCATTACAGAAGCTATAAACCTGAATAGTGGGGAAATAGTCTTAAAAACAGTCTTGGGTTACTAACCGCAGTACTGCGTCTTTAGCATTTTAAATATACTGGCTTCTCCGCAGGAGAAAGGCACACATTTGCCTTCTGTGAAGATGCTTAAGAAATCCAATGGAGGATCTCTATGAGGTGGAGCTTACTCAAGGTGAGTGAGTGAGTGAGTGAGTGAGTGAGTGAGCAAAGGAAAAGGAACTCTGATGGTGTCAACATGATAACCAAAACTGAGTTCAGTCTGAGACCACTAGCTGCTTCACTGGAGAAAGACAAGCAATCATCTTCCATAAAGATTTATAGCCTTAGACACTTGACAGGGTATCACTATGAGTTGAAATGAACTCCACAGCAATGATTTTGGGGTTTTTTTGAATCAAACAAAAAGAACCCAAGGATGAAATCTAGGAATTAAGTGAGACAGTAAGAGTGGTTAATCAATCTCTAATATTGTTTGAGGTTCTATATTCTAGTTTAATCCCTAATATTTTTGCATACTTATTTAAGCCTGTTTTAATTGGATTCCAACAGAAAGATTAATGACAATATCCTTTTAGATCTAAGTGAAAATTTAGAAATCTCATAGAGAATATACTATATTTATGATTATAAATGGAAAGAATATAAATAAAAACACATATAAGGTGGTTTTAGGGAAAGGGCTAACATGTTTCATGTCCCAAAGAGGAGTACAACCCTCTCCTGTGAATAACCAGGAAGCTCCTCTGAACCCTAGGATTCAGAGCTCTGAAGGGCCTTACTACATGGCATGATAGATTACATCATGTCTCATGAGGTTTAGTCAACAGTCTATGCCCAAGTAGTCATTACATTCATTAATCTGAGTGTTGATCTGCTCAAAAGAACTGAGTATGAAGACCAAATTGTTTCTTGCAAGGTAATTCTACACTTTGTAATAGGAGTTGGTCCTTTAAAAGAAAAACTAGGAGATAAGAATTGTAATAGAAGAACATATAAAGTATAAAAATAATCTAGAATAAGGAATAAAATCCTTTCTTGGAAGGTCAGAAATGTATTAATATATGCAACTAATTCTGCAGAATCACAATATGCTAATAAAAACTTGCAGATAAAAAACATACATACACTAAAAACTTACAACTGCTAGAGCTCAGAAGACCATGTTGAATGTACAATTTTAGTAGTATATACTTAAAATATAAAAGTATATAAAGATTGAAAGTCTACAAATGAAAAATACAGTATTTGCCAATCAAAAAATAGCTGAAGTAATAATATTAATGCTGTACCTAATAAATTTAAGACGATATAAATTATTAGAAATAAAATGCTCACTAAATAATGATAAAAGGCCTTATTTATCATTAAGTGACAGTTCTTAAATTTTGTACATTGAGTAGTAGCATAAGTTTATAAAGCAAAAATTGATGACTGAAGAATAAAAAACTGAGTAAAGTGACTGACTACACTATCAAATTAACAATGAAAGAAAATTGCAGTGACCAGGCTCTTCAGTGCCTGTAGCTGTATCTTGATTAGGATCCACAACTGGACCCAGAATCTCAAAACATCATCACCTCTCACCTAATCATAAAGGAAACATTTAGCCTTGCTCTCTCATTAACTAATGCCAAGTATGTGAAAATCATTAAGATAGACAAGATAATTGGGAAAATCTAATGGCCATATATAAAAGACTTAATTCCCAACTTGGAGTTAATATAGACTTTACCACCATACATGGACAATTTATGAAAACTTTCCACATGAAAAGCAATAAATGAGTAATAACAGTTGCACTGATTAAATATTTATAGCATACTAACACAGATCTGGTGGTCAAGTGGTAAAAAAATGCACTGTGGTTTGAATCAACCAAGGAGTCTTTGGGAAAAAGATGGGCAATCTCATCTTATGCTATTAATTGCCTCTGAAAACTCTCTGGAGGGTCAGCTAAGAGTCAATACTAACTTAATGGTATTTTCCCCTGCCAGTGAATTAATTACTAAATAGTCTTAAAAATGAACAAGATACATTTACATATATCATCTTAGAAAACTACAATCAAAATATTGAGGTGAAGGAACAAAATATGGAATGTAATATGTGATTGTTGTTGTCATGTGTCATTGATTTGACTCTGACTCACAGGCATCCTATGCACTATAGCTTTGAACCCTGCTCTATCTGAGCAATCTCACTGTTTCTGACATACTTGGCCTAATTGCCCCAGTTACTGTGTCAATACATCTCATCTAAGGACTTCCTCTCCTACGCTATCCTTCCACCCCTCTAAGTGTGATGTCCTTCTCCAAGGATACTGTTACATGGTTTTTGTGGTAACATGCTTAAAGTATGTGAGACAGAGTTTCAGAATCCTTGCCTTTAAGGAGAAACCTGATTTGACCGTATCCAGGGCAGATTTGTTTGTTCTCTTGGCAGTCCATGGTATGTTCAATACTTTTCTTCTCCAGCACCATAACTTAAAGGCATAAATTCTTCTTCTGTCATCTTTTGTTATTGTCCAGCTCTATGATGCATACTAGTTGTGAAGGCCATGGCCTACATGGCCTAGATCAGGTGCACTTTAGTCTTGAGACTGACACTATTGCTCTTCAGCACTCTGGAGGGGTCCCTGACAACAGATTTCCCTAATGTAATTCATCCTTGATTTCCTGCCTGCTGTTACCAAAAGTATTGATTGTGGAGCTGAGCAAACTGAAATTGTTAACAATCTCAATCTCTTCCCTATCTATTCTGGTGCTGCCAATTGGCCCAGTGGTGAGAATTTTGTTTTCTTCTTGTTGAGCTTTAACCCATATTGAAGATTACAATCCTTGGCTTTCTACAGAAGATGCTTCAGGTTCTCCTCAGTTTCACTGAGCAAGGTTGTGTCATGAGCATAACATAAGTTGTTGATGAGTCTTCCTCCAATCCTGATGTCACACTCCTCCACATTAAGTCCAGCATCTCGAATGATCAGTTCTGCATATAGATTGAAAAGGTACGGAAACAGGACGCATCTCTGAGGATGCATCTCTGTTGCACTCCTTTCCTGATTTTGAAACATTCAGTGTTTCCTTACTATATTCTGAAGACTGCTTCTTGGTCAGAGTACGGGTTTCACATGAGTAAAATCAGGTGTTTTAAGATTCCTATTCTTCTCAAGGTGAGTCACAATTTGTAGTGATCCACACAGTCAAAAATTTTTGCATAGTAAAAGAAGCATGGCACTACTTGTAAGGATTTCAATCTGCATGAATTTCTAAAATACTTTAAAGAACAAATACTAATAATAGGTGAATATTCATAGATAACAGAAGTACAGAAAACCCCCAACAGTGACTACCTCTATGTCCATGAGGAGAGAGCAATGGATCAGAGGAACATAAAGCATACAAGGGGCTTCCAATACTGTTTTTTAATCCTTAGTGGAGTTTGTTTTACTATTTTCATTTAAACTTCGTATTTAACACATAGGAAGCCATGGTGGCTCAGTGGTAAGGAGTTGTGCTGCCAATCCAAAGGCATGTGGTTTAAATACAACACCTGCTACTCAGGAGAAAGATGGACAATTTCCTCACATGAAATTAGTTATTGTTGCACACTGTATTGTTGGAACCAAGCCATAGCCGACCTTCTAGTGAGTTTTCGGAGGAAGTAAATCACATGGGAGAAGCCTGCCCATCTTCCTCTCCCATAGCAACTGGTGGGCTCAAATTGCATACCTTCAGCTTGGCAGTACCTCTTACCAACAAACCAACAAAGCTACCATGCAATTTAGTGCCTCTAAAACCTGCTGGAAGATCAGGTTTCAGTTGTTTCCATCTCAACAGTACATAGCAACACAAAAATAAATTTTACAAATGAAGGAGTTTGTCTTTGGCTTTTCAAGGAGAGGAGCAGAGCGAATTGGGGGTGAAGGTGGGGGTGGGGTGGGTGGGGAGAAAAGTGCAACAATGAATGAATGGAATTCCAAAATCTCTGTAGATGTTCACTGAAATGAACAATAATAATAAAAAAAGAAAAACATGACAAAGGTGAAATAAATGATACCCTTTCCCTTATTTTCCCCCTAAACTGTGCATTTCCCTCTACTGAGAGTTGCTATTCATAAATGATCTTCTCATTATGAAAACTTCCTATTTGAGGCAGAAGATTGCCTCACATCTTC